CCCCCCCCGACGGCCACCAAGACGGCCAGCGCCAGGCCGGATGCCAGCACCACGAATACGCCGCCCAGTTTCTGGATCCCCATGGGGCCCGTCTCTCGCCGCTCATCGTCCGAGCAGCCGCCGTCGCCGCCGCTCCACCACTTCTCCTTCAGCAAGTGGAGGCGCCCGTCCTCCATGATGTTGAGGATGGCCACGGAGATCTTGTCCCTGTACGGCGAGCCTGCAAAAGCGACACGCCGACAAAAAAGGGTCTCGCGCGGCAAAGGCGCCCGTCCGGCGTCATCGAAAGTAAAGATTGCTCCGCCGACACGCCGCCGTTGCCCCAATTGGAGGGCGAGGGAAGCGGGGACGGCAAACCCCGCCCGCCGCGCTCCCACGCGTGGGATGTTCGTCGCTTAGCTTTGAGATCCGAGCAGCTAACGGCCCAAAACGGCACACGCGGCGGACTTGACTTCAGGCCTTTGTACTGGTAAGACGTTTTGCCAAAAGCCAAACGGAACCCGATATTCAGCCCGAACTTGACAGGGAAGAAACCAAAAAAATTCCGAAAAGAAATGATCACGTTATTTCTTAACTCAGCGTTAACGGTGAATGTACACGTGGGGGAGGGGAATCTTGAATGCGATTGTACTTTTTAACGCTCTCGTTATTGTGATGGAACGCCCACATCTAGACGAGAAAAAAAAAAACCTCTCCGTCAAGAGTCGAGCCAAGCAATTCCGAGATTGCGATCGTCTCGGAGTCCTTTTGGTATATCTCGCCTCTCGCGTTCAAGTCTGGGGAAACGATTCTCAATGGCGGCTCCTCCTCCTTCACCGTGAGCGACCGAGACAAAGCCCCCGGTGGTGATGTTTTTATTATCGTTCTTCTTATTTTTGGGTTTGATTTTTCTGAAAAACGAAGCGTTTCTGCTGGCCCGCTGAAACCAAAAAAAAAAAACAGTCAAGCGCGTGGGCTCACTTTGCGCCTGAGTGGGACTCCAGCAGGGATAAGCAGCCTCTCCATTCGTCCCGCATTCCCGCCCAGGCTGCCGGATTTCATGCCGTTTTCTATACCAGGGGTCGCGTTCGGGGCCGTGTCCAATCCAAGATAATTGCCGTTTTCACGACTGAGAGCCGTTTCAAATTGGCGAGAGGTGGCCGTTAAAATGAGGTCTCCTGTTTTTGCCGAAGACGAGAATGTTGATATTCGGGCGCAAGTGTGACAGTTTGGAGATAACGGCGAGGGATGACAAGTGGCGGCCCGAGCGCAAACTTGAATGAGTTTTTCATCGGACGCGTTCCCGTGAGAAACTTCCAAAGACGAAGCGAGTCACAGTCATCGACGATCAAATGAAGTGAAAGACCCGAAGGCGAATCGAACCAAATCAAATTCAACTGGCGGCGGTCGGAATAAAAGGCGCACCCACGTCGAGTGGCCACAATCAGATCGCACGCGCGTTTGGCGTCCCCTCGAACGGTCGACGAGATCTTCCGCCGGGAACGATCGGATCGACGCGATTCAAAGGGCCGGAACCGTTCGCGGCGTACCTTGAAGAAAGTCATGGTGGCGCCGTCGCGGACCACGCCGTACTCGATCTTGGTCTGCTTGGCGATGTCGTCGGCCGAGTCCACCGGCGAGTCCATCCTCTCCACGGTGAGGATCGCCGCCAGGTTGGCCGTGTAGGACGATATGATGATGAGCGTGAAAAACCACCAGATGGCGCCGATGATCCTGGTCGACAGGGCCTTGGGCATCAGCTCGGAGCCTGCGCGCAAAGCCAGACGCCGCTCGAGCCTTTTCATCTCCCAAAACAACCCCCTGTCTGATCAAGGACAATCGCTTTGGCGCTTGCTAATTAGCCGGCCGCTAAAACGTTGAGCGGAACGGACGGGTCAAGGTCCGAAGAGCCTTATCGCGCCCCGATTCAAGCGGGAGCTAAAAGCCTTTCTGCGGTTCCCGTGCGCCGCCTTTCGTCTATGCTAAGGGCTGTCCGACGTTGCGTGCGATCGCTCGTGATTTCAACCCGGGTTGGACGTGCGACAATACTCGCCGTCCTGTGCTCCGGGTGAGCCGGAAGTCTCTCTCTCGACTGACTTGGCTCAGTCGCGAATCGCTCGTCATAGACAAACATTCGCACCTGCTAGGGACAATTTAGAGTCTTCAGTTCAGCAAAAATGAACGGGGGTTGTTTCGGATGCCGTGGGGGGGGGGACCCGAGAGAACTTGCAAATGCCACACTGGAAGACCAGAGCCCAGATTCAAACCCCAGATCCCCAGACTGTAAAGCAGGCAAGGGAATCACTACTGAAACGCGCTAGCGGCTTGTTAGCATGCTATCCATTTTTCTGGCGTCACCGGCTGTCAGAAGGGGCAACGGCGGCTTGGCGGCCTTGCTGGTGTCACGGGCAAAGCCGGCCGGCATCAAAAGCACCCAAGATTGGACCCTGGGCAACCCTGGGCAACCCGCGACAACCAACTGAGCCAGCCAGCAAGGCCAACGTGCTGTGCTGCTGCTAAACTGGCGACCAGTTCCTGTTCCCCACGCAACGGGGTCACTTTGGACTTGAATAGATTCCCATGCCGACCTCCCGTCTGTTCCCCGTTCAGACGAGCCTTGCTCGGAGTAGAATGTAAGCCGGGAAGTTGTTCAGCGGTATCTGCCGCCTCGGGACGTCTTCATGAAGGCTGCCATTGCTGGGCGAGCGGCCCCCTCGGCCAAAGTGGGCTCGAACCCACTCGGGAGAATACATGACTGAACCTTCTGCACCTTCTGACCCCTTTTCCTCTTCTGCGATCCGTTCATTTTTGGACTCGGCCGTGAAAGGCCCGAGCAGGCCAGACGGCGTCCTTCCATGAGGTTTCTTCCAGAGCTACGGCGCCGTACTTGCTAAGTCTAAGCCCGGCACGACCTCCGCGGAGCGATTCGGATTCGCCGGCGGCCCGCCGACTGACGCCGGAGTTACTTTATATCTCGTCTCTGACAACCTTTCAAATACCCTTGCGCTCGGCGCGCACCGCGTTACTTTCCCCGAGAAGATTTATGACGGCAATTGTGAAGAGTAACAAGCCCGTGTGGGGTAGGCGGGGAGGGAGGAAGGCAGGGCGGGGAAAGAAGGAACGAAGGGGGTGGGCCGAGCGCTCCGCTCTCTAACCTCTTCCGCCAAATGTGATTGCATTCGTCCTTCGTGGCTTGACGGAGGCTCGATGTGGTTACAAACGAGGGGGGGGGGAACGGCGCCATCCCCTAAATTGGCTGTGACCGCGGGGAGGGAGGGGCGAGCGGCGCCGGAATCTGCGAGAAGCGACGGGGATTCAATTCCGCGCCGTCAAAATCTGGCCGTCAGCACCGGGGACGAGGGAGGCGCTTTGGAAGTCCGGAGTCAATGCAAAAAGTCCGTCGGTCCCGTGCTGGCAAGGCTGATCGGGCTACCGGTGACGTTTTCAGCCTGTGCAATGTGCCTGGACTGCGACACTGACAGGGACGGAAAGCAAAATTGACAAAAACAAGCTCTGATACCCCAAAAAAAGGGGTTGTTTCCAATCTGGTGAGCCGGTCTGGATTGAAGGTTGGCAATTTGGCCGGACTGGCTTCAAAAGATCGTGGGCGGCGATGTTCAACGCTAAATTTGGACGTGAGAAGATCGAGTGGACGGAGCTCAAGAGGCTTCTTTCAGTCATTAACGACTGTCCGGTTCTGGAAGGGTCAAAGCGACAAATGTCATCTTCCGCTTTCCGTCGCGGTCGTCATTGCTCCGCCCAAGTCGCTAACGATGAAAAAGAGCCGCCCGCCCGCGGCGTCGTGGCGGCGACGAGGCTTTTCGGGGGGCACGGTCCGTCTTTGTCGTCGGCCGTTCGTCGCGACGGCCGTAAATCGTCACCCCCTCCCTTTCGCGGCATTGAGGAAGCGTTCGTCGAAAGTGGAGTCAAGGTAGCAGGAAATGATCACACATATGTTTGTTGTTGAGCGCCGAGCACATTTTGGAAGCGCTTTGTTGCTTTTTGCACCTCGTCGTCGTCTTGGGTGTCTTCTTTGTGACACCTCACTCCCACAGACAAGCTGCTCGTTTTCTCCCTTCCTCTTAAAACACAGTCATTTGCATTTTAAACGCGTCAAAGAAAATGGGCTGGCTTCCGTCTCAGCTGCTGCTGTCACTGTCACCGACGTTGTTGGCGGAGCGCAGAAGAACAAGCTTGTGTAGCAGACGACAGCTCGCGGTGAATATCGGCAGTACTTTGTTTTTCCTTTTGAGTACCCCAAAAAAAAAAAAATCCGATTCGACATATGTGTGTGCCCTTAATCCGAACGACTGAAACGCCAAGAATTAGCCAGTGCCTCAATATGATTTCCTGTATATTTATCCAATTTTGGAACCTTGGCTCGGAAAAAATATCCCAAGACACAAAATTAGCGAGCACGCAGCCATTCCGATTCCCAAAAGAGACGCTCGGTCTTTGAGAGACCGACGACTCTTGCCTGTCGTCCGCATTTACACGAGCCTCAAACTCCACGACATCGTCGAACTTTTAACGAGCACAATCGAATGAAGCCACTCCGACTCCATCACAGCTGCAGCGTGCCCGACAGCCGGCATTTGGCACTCTGAAGACGCTCTCTCTTGGGGGTCGGCGACGGGCTTTATGGCGGGAAAGAAACGCTATCTAGCCTCAGCTGACAATGCCTGCCAAGCGGCCCCCCTTCCTTCTGTTTTTCTCTTTTGGGGGGTGGGGAACGGCAGGTGGGTGACAAGCAACGCCGTGCGATTGTTTCGAGACAGCTTATGCCGTACCTTGTTGCATCAAGGAGCCCACTCCGAACCAGAAGCTGTTCAGCAACGTGAAGTTGTTCTCCACCACGTCTGATCCCGGATTGCAGGGGTGGGCGTCGTACCATTCGTACGGGCTGAACCTGAAGTGGGGAAAGCAGTTTTGTTTTTTTATAACTCCCCTATTGCAGTCTCCCACAGAAAGCACGAAAGTTTCCACCCCCTTTTGAACATCACTCCTCGCCGGTTCTGTTCGGAGACATGGTGAGCTGTTTTGTACTTCAGTCATGTCGAGTTTGAACACAAGAGCCGCGAATGTGTCGCGACAGGAAGTCTGTCAAAGTAGGGGAGCGGCCGCATTCGCAAACTCGCGGCAGATGGCTTTTCAAAGGCGCTCGACTTAAACATTTCCGTACTTGCCGTTTTTGCTACACCCGCGCTATATTTTGTAATTCAGTGCAGGAGCTCTACGATTCTGGAAAACAAAAAAAAAAATGACTCTTCTTTTGATTGATGTTCATGAAACGATCTGCTTATTATTGTAGTTTGCTGTGGAGTTGCCGAACAAAAACTGGTCAACGACCGTATTTGTATTTTAGTGATGGACCGATGATCAGCCGGGCCCACATTTGGAACTGGCATCCGAGTTACTTTGGCTCGGATCGCCGCAGCTGAGTTTCTAGACTCAAGTGTGAAAAAAAAAAGACTTTTTGAACACCAAATTCATTTTAATACGGAAAATCATGACAGTACATCTGAAACAAATGATTCGAACAATATATTTGGAAGAAGGTTATTTTGCCTCATTCAAATCTAAAGCGCAATCACATTCGCAAATGAATGACTTCTGGTTTTTGAAATGTAAACGAAACACTAACTTCTCCTCAGGCGCCGGTGAACCTGGCCGATCTTCGACCCACTTTTCTCCAGATTGTCGCTACGTTTCTCCGTTTTCTGTTATCTCTTCTATTATTTTCTTCTCTTTTCCTTGTTACCGCTATTTTTTCTTTTTCTTCTTCGCGCTACCGCTATTTTTTATTTTTATTCATCGTGGCAGGGGTTCACTTTGGCCCGGGAAGTCAAGTTCAGGATTGGCTTCAATGATATCCGGCGCCATCTAGCGTCGTAAATGGGTATAACGTCTAGACCCCGAATATAAGACGACCCCCACTTTTTTCAGTCTTATTTCAATGCAAAAAAAAAACACCGTCTTATATTCGGGCCAATATGGTATTTGTTGTCAGTTTGTTTTCTCACTCCGCCCACCTCCGCCCTCTTCTTTTGATTTTTAAATGTTTTTTTTTTTTTTAAACTAGCCTTGTGGGCCACTGATGTGGCCTCAACCGTGACGAGGTGGCACAATTCGGGAACATTTGGTGCATTTTTTTTTTTTTTCACCTGCAGAATAGCACTTTTCCGACTTAGCACTCAGGGGTCGAGGATTTTTATATATATATTTTTTTGTATTCCGAGACTGAAAAGAGCCCACAAATCTCGACTGCTTTTGCACTGGCTGCAATGAAGCGCGTCGGTGGCCACGGTGACGACAGCGACAAACGGCGGGACCGTCGGTCGTGTCGTCGACTTGGGCCTGTCGCCGCGACCCGCTTCGTGACGCGGATGCTAATCACTTCTCAGCTGAGGATCCCTTTTGTGTCGTCTTCCATCCTTCCATTTCTTAACTGAGTGGCGGAAGTGCACTCGTAGCCTCTTAACGCACTCCCGCGCTGCACTTTGACAACCTTTTCGCTATCGAGGCCAGCTACCCGATATCACAGTTTGCCATGATTTCCTTTCCCCCCCCCCCACCCGGCGCTGTGAAGCCCCCCTCCATGATTCCCGAGCACAAAGAGCGGCAGGGGACTGCAGCTGTCTGCACTTGAGCGGCCCGCTTT